GATCTCAAGTCAGGGTACCACCAACTCGAGATTCGCAAGGAGGATCGCTACAAGACCGCGTTCAAGACACGGTATGGGCATTTCGAATGGCTGGTTATGCCGTTTGGCCTTACGAATGCCCCAGCCACTTTCCAAGCGGCTATGACAACGGAGTTCCGACACATGCTGGATCGGTTTGTACTTATCTACCTCGACGACATCCTGGTGTACAGCCGGAGTTTGGAGGAGCATGTGGAACACCTGCGCACCCTTTTGGAGCGGCTACGACAAGCCAAGTACAAAGCCAACCGCGATAAGTGTGAATTCGCGCGGCAGGAGCTGGAGTACTTCGGACACTATGTGATGCCACAAGGCATCCGTCCGCTCGCGGACAAGATCGAGGCCCTACGAGTATGGCCCAAGCCCACCAACACCACGGACGTTCGTTCATTCATGGGATTGGCAGGCTGGGGTCATAGATGCTGCACCTATGACGAGGTTACGGTCGCCAAAGGTGCCATTCGTATTCGATGACGACGCACGCCGGTCATTCCGAGCACTTAAGACGGCCATGCTCATGGCACCCGTCCTCAGCATCTATGACCCCACCTTGCCGACGAGAGTGACTACGGACGCTTTCGGCTATGGCATTGGGGCAGTCTTGGAACAACACGACGGCGACGACTGGCACCCTGTGGAGTATTTCAGCCACAAAGTGCCTCCCATCAACTCGCTTGATGATGCAAGGAAGAAGGAGCTACTTGCGTTCGTCGTGGCTCTCAAGCAATGGCGACACTTCCTCCTTGGGCGTCGTAGGTTCACATGGGTTACGGACAACAATCCATTGACCTACTACAAGACGCAGGATACGGTGAGCAGCACTATCGGACGGCGGATGTACTGCATTGACCAATTTGACTTCACACCGAAACATCTTCCCGGCCTCTCCAATCGCGCAGCAGATGCACTCTCGCGAAGACCTGATCTTTGCGCTATGACTCATCATGCCTTCGCATTCGACGAGGAGCTTCAGCGACACTTCATCCGGGCATATGAGTGTGATCCGGACTTCGCCACGCTGTACGCACAGCTATCTTCAGATCACCCGCCGGCCAGCCACTATCGCATTGCCGACGGATACTTGCTCCTCCACTCGAGAGGCAAGGACTTATTGTGTGTCCCACGCGACCGTCGTCTTCGGACTCGCCTTCTCGGGGAGTACCACGCCTCGTGACTCGCCGGCCATTTCGGAGTCAACCGCACTATTGCACGGCTTCGACAGCGATTCCGATGGCCCAATCTCATTACCGATGTCACTCGGTATTGCGACTCTTGCGAAGTTTGCCGACGCAGCAAGCCCCGCAACCGCAATCCCTACGGCGAGTTACACCCGATGCCTATCCCACGGGAACCCGGTCTCTCCATTGCCATGGACGTCACCGGTCCGTTTCCTCGCGACCGGCTCGGGCACGACGGCATCCTCACGGTGGTGAACCGATTGAGTAAGTACGTGTGTTTCCTCCCTTGCAAGTACTACTCCACGGCTCCCGAGCTGGCACGCCTCCTGCACACTGGTTGGATTTGTGGCCACGGTGTACCAGAAGACATTGTCAGCGACCGCGACCCTCGTTTCATGTCGGCGTTTTGGACTGCTCTCATGCAGGAGTCCGACACAACAATGAAACCAAGTTCGGCTCGGCATCCTTAGACAGACAGGCAGACGGAGCAGGCACATCAAACCGCTCAAATGATGCTTTGTACGCTCATCCGTCCGGACCAGAAAGATTGGGTTGACAGCCTCCCCGTCATCGAGTTCGCCTACAACACTTCGGTGCATCCGGCGATCGGCGTGACTCCATTCGAGTTGCACCACGGTGGACGGAAAGGCCGGATCTTCGCCGACCTTCTCCTCCCTCGACCAGCCGCCTGCTCTCCCGCTTCCGTCCGGAAGTACAGGGAATTGCTGACTCAAGCCCGCGCAAACATGCAAAAGGCTCAAGTCCGCATGCAGCAGCAAGCCAACAGTCGCCGCGTACCATGTCCCATCCGCGCCGGTGATCTGGTTTGGGTCTCCGCGAAAGAGTTTGCACTGGAACAGGATGTTTCACGCAAACTGCTTCCCAAGTGGTTTGGACCTTGGTCTGTGACAGCAGCCGCGGGCGATGAGCCCGATGGCCCTTCATTTGTGATCAACATTCCAGAGCATCTGACGGTCCATCCGGTCTTCCACGCCTCGAAGCTGGCAACATACACGCGAGCCAAGAGCGACGACTTTCCGGACCGACGATCGCAGGACCCTCCTTCTATGGATGGTCATCAGGAAGTTGACCGCGTCATCACCGATCGCAAGTACGGCAGCAAGCCGCGGCAGTACAAAGTCACATTCAAAGCATGCGATCGCGACGACACTCGGTGGATTTCAGGCGTAGATTTGAAAGCATCCGTACCGCTGATCTACGCACATTATGAAAGGCGGAGGTTAGCTCAGGAAGCTTCACGACCARCCCCTCCCACCCGGACTGTGGTCCCTCCCTCAGACAGACAGCTTCGCCCTCGCAGGTAAGCTCGGTTCTTCAAGGAGGGGGGGGTGTGGCATA